GAAAAATTTAGTGACTAATTTAGTCAAAGTTTAGTGACTAATAATATTCTCCAACTTGACAGGACTTTTTATTTACATTTACTGGTCAATATCTTCAAGGTGGTATTCTCCTATGTGCCCTCTATTCTTCTCTGATCCTACAGGAACAGTTACTAATTATACACTGCAAGCAGATATTGCTTTGCTTCATTTTGTTAAATGGACTCTTACCAACATGCAAATTATTTCTGGTGCGGAATGGGGCGCAAAGAAGTTTTTTCTAATGCATAGTTAATTCACTTCAACTCTAGCATGAGATACTCGCTTTTTAGAGAACACCTAAAGAGCTATATCCTCTCTAACACACATCACGTTTTGTTTCCAAATGAAGCTTTGTTAGCCTTTGTTTCAAGAAGTATTATAGGAGGAAAAAAAAAACATTAGTGACCCAACTAATCTTATCAATTTGACAAATATGGTATTTACAGTAAATTTTAAAATAGGCTTATATATTTTAGCTGAAACAAAAAGGCCACTTCAGCTTTCCACTGGAATAAAGTTCTGGCATGAAGTCATTCAATGAGACTTCTTCCCACAAAAATAAGTCAAAGTTTCCTCAAAGTAATTTGTAGAATATAGGAATAAATTGTATAACTTAGAAACGTTCTACATTAGACCAAAAAAACCGTCCAAGAATCAATTACAGTAAATTGAGTCACAATACCCCAAGAAATCAATTCTCCTATCATTATTCTGGGATCTCATCATTCAGCACAATTTATGGCACAGAGGGGAAAGCATCAAGTGTTGCAAATGTACAGCCAGTTCCAGCTACTAAGAAACAGCTTCCAAGTTAAGCCCTTTAAAAGTCCTGTAAAAACTGGGCTTATGATGTATGATTTTTAAAAAGAACAATCTCTCAGACTTCAAAAGCAAGGATATTACATTTACACCTTCGAAGGTAAATCCCTTCACACACACGGATGCCTGTTCGCTTGTCACAGCATGGGCATGACCTTCAGGTTCGTTCTCAATGTCATGCAGAAGGAACTACGTGAAGAACTCCCAGTAAAGTTAACAGGAGTTAGACAGCAGTGCCCCTTCATACCATTGAATTATTAAATATTTTGTGTATTGTGTGTGAAAAAAAAAAATCTCAATTTTGTATTGAGAAAGCAAACACTGAAATAGAAACAACTTTTAGCACAACAGATGTATTTACTTACAGCATGCAAGGTTTGTTTTTATGTATTTGAGCAGCTAACAGCCACTAACAGCCCTTAAGTATTTACAAGTTCAAAATTACAATCTTCACATAAGTAGCAATTGCTTACAAAAAGTTCAGGACATTCCCTGGGAAATAAGCAAGAAATGGAGTGAAAAACCACCGAAAGCAGTAATAAAAACTAGTAGCAAAGGAAAACATAATAGCTTTTAAAATCCAGACAATTTAACACTGTTCTGGTAATAAAAAAAAATATTAAAAAGCCACATACCACATTTAGAGTTGCTATTTTAAAAGAAATGCATTTTTCTTTTTTCCAGGAGAAAAGCTGTACATAAGCTTAAAATTTTTTCTAAGTAAATAAACAAAATACAACTCCCTTTGGTTTGCCAATTTACTTTAAAATAGCTTCTCCACCTCCCCCTTTCCCTCCCCCCCCAATTTGCAAGATAAGTGGTAAGGCTAATGTGATCAGAGAGCTTCAGCTCCAATTCATGGTATGGGAAGCTAGAGGAACAGCTTTTTTTTTATAAGTATGAAACTTTTTTTCAAAGTAACAGATTCTAAAACTTACCCAAGATGCAATGCACATGGTAGTTCTAATTGAGGGCCAGGTCAGAAAAACTCCTGCTCCTATGGTTAAAGCAGTTTAAGACTAATCTGAGTCTCTTCAGCCTCTTGGAAAACAGAATTTTGTGCCAAATTACACTCTACACGACTGTTAGTTTCAGGTTTTATTTTAAACTAATCAAATAAGAAAATTTAACTCGTAGCTTTTAAATAAATGTGTATTTATATCTGCTTCTATGAAGAAGTAGTATTTCTCTCCTCAGGACTATACAACCTGGAACTGAGGAAGTTCACTAGCAGTGACAATATGAATATGTTTTTGCACCACTTCATGAAAGGTTTCAAGCGTATTGTCCTTCTGAAAAGATATTTAACTACCTTTTTAAAGCTATGTTAAATTTATTTATAAATAATTTGGTACCAGCTGATGCTCATACTAGAAACATTTTTCATGTTCAACTCTAGGAAGAACTTAGGGCAAAGAAAGTGCTCCAGTTTTACCTGCTGTTTTGTGATGCCTGATTTGAAGGAATCTTAGCTTATTATTAAAGAAAAATACTATAATACAAATAAATTTGATTTTTAAATCTTTGCATTTCTGTGATTCTTTATTCTGTAACAGTATTGCATGATATTTTGTGCTAAACTGCCCTCTTGAGCCTAGCCCCTTACAAAACATGAAAATAGAAAACTTTTTTAATGTAAACTTCAGTAAAGTAGTTGCAGTCTTAGAGATAGGGTTGTAAAGGTGCTATAGAAACATTCTGATATACGTTTCCGGTGTACTAGACTATATGGTACATGGAACATGACATTTTGAAGTTATCCAATGTAATGTATAAAAATATAAAATAGAATATTTATGAGTAACAGTAGAATAAGCTACAGTGCCATTTTCCTTAGCATGAAAGCCCTATCTGTGTGATTTTTTTTTAACCCATTCTATATCTTCCATAGTAGATTTTATTCTCCATTAATAGTACAACAGAGATAGCACAGCTAGAAAAGACAGCTTTAAGAACAGTCCTATGCTGTAAACCTGAAGTTCCTAGAAGTCAAATATGTGCCTTAAAAATCCGTTTTGCTTACTTGTCTCTTCTGTGCTAGAATTTAAACATTTCTCACTATAAACTGTAAAGCTAGGATATCTAAGGACAATACACCCTAAATTTCAGAGAAAGTTATCCTATTATTTTTACCAGTCCTCAGACTGATTTAATATAATTGGAACTATACCACTTGCTCAGGGCTTTAAGCATAAGGCATTTTGTGTACATTCCCCTCAGTTAGTTATTTAATGACTATCAGTGTGCAAAGCCAAACCAGTGGAAATCCCTCCCTCAAAACCTTGGAAACCAATTTACCTTTTACTGCACATTCAGCATTAAACTGCAAAAGAGGAACAGATAGAAAAATCAAATCCAGAAATATGCACTGAAACAAGCTAACCATTTTCTACTAGGTAAAGTCTTTTCTACTACAGAAGTTCTGAATACATCAGTTTGAATACATTCATAGTGGTGCATTCTGAATGCACTGAAAAAATGCATCAGAAAAGTTAGCTCTTCACATCATCTAATGCCAGTGTACCATAACTTGACTGCTTTGAGGAGATACAAAATTAATTTTGTTAATTTACATATTAACAGTTCGAAGATATGAGCTCAAATACAAAAACCCCTTCCAATTTTAACTGTTGTTTACAAAAAATGGAAGCTTCGTATTCTATCCAATCACTATACTTCCCAACTAAATTATGTTTTCCCTGGCCAGACAGTAAGACAGCTCTTGCCCCAGTATGACAGTTCCTGACATGGAAAGCACAGATTAGGCAACAAATTAAAACATAGACAAAATGAAACACAAAGGAGGCACATGAAGTTACAGTTGAAGGGTCATACTCTACTCATCGCTGGAAAAAGGATCATGAAAAGTGTGTAATAATTCAGTAAAATTTAGATATGCACAAACCGTTTATGCACTGGCTATACTGTCTTGACTGGTCACAATCTGCCTATCAGAATGATTAAAAATTTAATTGGATCATTATATTGTCTTACAGCTATCTAAATTGGGTAAAAGTGATTATCACCTTTAATTAGAGTATGTTAATGCATAAAAATACATATTTTTTTTCTAGAATAAGGATTATATTTTCTAAGCAAATATGTAAAAACAATGGTCCTTCTAAATTAGTTTGGAATCGTGAGGCCCATTTCTTTGCAGAATGGGGTGTTTTTATTGTTTATATGTTTAGATAATTAATTTTGAATATCTGTCCACTGTATAAACAATCTCCAGAAAAATATATCCTCTTCCAGTAACTTACAATACACATTAAAAATACTTACAAAAGGGATTATTGTTGTCCATTTACAACATCTTAAGGACATGATTCTTGGGTCATTTCATTTATGCAATTTTATTTGGCTAAACTTAATATTCTGGTTAACTTGAACCACGCCAGCAATGTGGACAATTTAACATTTAAAAATATCTGCCTAATTATGTATGATTTTAAATAAAATTAGGCATTTTTACCTCACAGTATATATGGCATTTCTTCATTTAGCAACAGAAAGGCACAGTTATTAAACCATAAAATACAGTACCTGAATCACATATACGCTAGTGATATCTACCAGTGCCAATCCAGACATTTTACTCTGTAGAGGGGCTAAAGCAAAAGGTTTCTGTTTGTTTTTTTCAGAAAAATTCAACCTCATTACAAGTTTGGTCCATTAGAAATGCCTACTAGCTGAAACATCTTGAATCAGGACTTCAGGAAAGAATAGAGGAAAGCAAATTTAGCAGTCTATGGTCCAACAACTTGAATAAATTACTATGTAATGGCAAACAGATCATGAATGGAGCTTTCTGATTAGCTGTCAGACATACCTGTTAAAATGTCACCATATACAGGTACAGTATGACAGACATTCCAGATACATTCATTGCATCACACACACATACGGACTTTGTTACAGCAATAAGTCTAGACAAAGCATTTATAGAGTTCAGCACTTCTCATGGACTGATAGTTGACTTCAGCCCCATACCATACCCAAAGATGTGCAAAGTTCTTTAAATGCTTTGCATGCTACGTACTGCTGTTAAAGTGAAGATCCAGCTAAAGCCAAGCTCGCTGGCCCTCCCTTAGCAAACTAGTGCACCTCTTCAAAAAGCAACTAGCTCTTCTCTCCCTATCTGAAGTGATAAAACTGCATCAAGACAGACCAATAAAATGGAAGAGGCAAGGAACAATGAACATGAGGGAGAACCCAACCATTCCATATGTAATATAGCGATAGGGAAGCTCAACTTCCATGCGTTGTCTTGCTTTCCGGACATCGTCATGTGGTATGCGAAATATTTTACATGCCAGTGGAATAGTGGCTTTTTTCATCGCTACTTTTGTTAACAACAGAACAATTACTCCAATCAACAACCGCAATATGGCTTTTCCAAACACAGTCACAGTGAGAGAGGAAAGAGATAAAGGTAAAGTATTGGGAGGAGGATCTAGCTTTAGACCCATTATGTAGTTAACATGAGAGCCACAGGCTACTCCAGCACCACAGCCCAGTATCTGAGCCGTGTCTCCTCGAGATGTGCTCCACGTGTCTAGGGTAAAAGAGAAGATGCCCAGGGCTAAATGGAGACTGATGATAATTAAGGGGGCATATTTGTAAGTTAAGTTGAAGTTATCAATCAGGTCCACAACTGGATGGAAGACAATCAAGATGAGAATAGCATACAGAAATCCAGCAATAACATCCTGTTGAAGAAAGAAAGATACGGTTTCAGTGTAGTAACTACTTAAAAAATAGGTTACATTAGCACGGAGACAAGTCTAGTTGCTCTGTTGCTAAAATTGACATGTGGATTCCCATCTTTTCTCATTTACTGTACAAGATGAAATCTTTTTTATGTCAGATACAGAATTGCATTTGATCACCTATTAACAGGACATCTGTATCATGACCAGATCGTGAATGATCATAATCATGAATGAAGCTATGATCAAACGATCCATGATCAAAGTTGTAGATCTACCTGTCTGCTGGCTGCAATGGTGCCAGGACTGGGGCATTCCAGCCTACAGTCAGCACAAAGCTAGCCCAGCTAAGTAAGTTCTGCCAACTCAGTTTGCTGGAGCAGCTCAACACTGGATCTAACACCAGGGTGCCAGCACACAGGCACGCTGGCAGCAACAGCTGGTAAGGCAGTTGAGGACCAGCAGCTTAGACTTTCCACTCCAGTTTCAGAATTAATAATACTGCAAGAGGAGAACTGTTTCCAAATACTAAAGGAAAGGAAGAGGTAACTTCTGTGGCTTCATACTTGATTTTCAGTTTTATTATTAAGTATGTCTTTTCTTAATTAAAAGTTTACTTAATTTTTGTATTTATCATTACATTTCGGTTACCATTGATTATTCACTCAGTTGCACAGAATTATCTGCAACTTTAGTCACCTTTAGTTGTTAAGGAATTTGTTGAAAGCTTTTTAGAAATCCAAGCCCTAGAAACCAGATCACCTTCATTCATAAGCTTATCAACTTTTCCATATGAGCCAGGAGGTGGGACTTTTGTCAGCAGTATTTATATTGCTCCATCTTCAATGAATCATTTTTATTCACTTCCACTAATTGAATGCTTGATAAAAGCTCTAATACAATTGACTGACAAGAAAGTCAGACTTGCTTATTTCAGAAGCAACCTCAACAACCTTCTGCCATATTTGCCATCCTACCTGCCCCCGTCTTAGGCACCAGGGTTGATTTATATTACAGGTAACGCATGGTTAATTGTACTCATTCGAACACTACATAGAATTCAGATATGAAACTAGGGAATAACCTAGGGTACATGAAGCATCACTATTTGTTGCGTGACTGTTCTGAGAGATTAGCTGTCAGCTGAAATATCAGTTCATCCCATCATCCTCCACACAACTGGTTCCAACTTGGGAAGCCTCCTGATCACTAATGCAAATATGTCACATAGTTTTTCTGAGCTGCCTTATTTTCACATGCTTCTTTTACACTGTTCATCTATGAGCTTTACTACTCACTACCAGCCTTAATGTTTTCCGTCTGTTAGCTTTCCTTCTTCTAGCAAGTGATGCTCAAAAATCTCTTTAGATATCCTTATTAGTGGTCTTACATTCTGATTACCATTTTGTACTGTTCTTGTTTTCCTATTTTTACTTTGCATGCATTTGTGTTTCAGTTTGATTTTTTTTTAAATTCTTTTTAATAAATAAGTCTGTTTTTCAAAGATGACCACTTTGCTATTTGGTTCTTTAGAAACTTTGGTAAGTGAAACCCTAGCATTTAGCATGGCACTCAGAAATGGACATGCTTTGAGTAGCTGACGTGGAACTTGAGTGGACTATAACAGTCACACTCTCATCCTGCAACATTATTTCTACTCTACAGAGGGAAAAGTTAGTCTACGCTTTACTGCAGTCATCAATTTCCACACTAAAGCTGCTATTAAACATCAGCTAAGTCTCAATTGTGGACTGGGTTTATGAAAGAAGAATATAAATTAATAGAAGCCTGACATCCACTTGTAGCTATTGTATCAAATTCTCTGCTGAAGAAATCTAAGTATTCTGTTCCTATATGGTAGGACATTCTAAAAAAAAAAAAATCTATATACAGTAACTACACTGTAAAAACTTCAGTGTGATGGAAGTTTATGAAATCAGAACAACATTAAAATAAAAGTTTAGTAGGATTATTTTCTTACCAAAATTGAATGCATTCCCATATAAATTCGGCTACAGCAAACCAAAGAACACCAGCAGAATGCAAGGATCAGTCCAAACATAAGGGGATACTGGTAGGGAAAAAATGGAAAGATTGAATTAGAATTTGGAGAAAACATAATTAAAAAAAATCACTCTGTAAGAATTCTATAATTCATTCCAATTAATGCAGCTTATGCTTACCCTTTTCCTTGCCCTACCCTACCCAACCCTATTAGACCACCTCAAATAAATCCACTTTTCATAAAGTCCAAACATTAAGTCAAACTTTTTCAACTTTTTCCCTGTCTCCTTTCTTTGCATTCAGGATATATGAATTTCAGGGCGTTGGTCATATCTTTTCAGACAAAGCAGTAAGAAGCTAATAGATCTCTGTAGCAGTTAGTCTTGGCATGTTATGATATTCAAAATTGGCAACATGGACAGAGACAAGCCTTGTGTTATAAACTGTGGAACAGTGTTACACTGGGTAAAGCAGCTACATAATGGACTAGTATTGTTAACAATTATCCAGGCAGAATCTAGTAGCTTCACCTTTCTCCTTAAAGGAAGGACGCATAATAATTTACAAATATTTACAAATTT